CAGGCGCCCCTGGTTTAATGTTTCTACTTCTTTGGATATCTAGTAATTTTGTGCTGTATGCTGGACATTGTGTATCCTGTGTTGCTGATGGTCTGGGTTATGTTGTGTTCTTTCAAGAGTGTTCAGTTTTGTTGTGGCAGAGTTAGTTTACTGGCAGCTTGGCTTAATCTGTCCAGGTGCGGTTTGGGCTTTGTTAGGGCAGGACCTCAAGCCTAGAACAGTTCAAGACTAGTTCTGCTTCTGAGACATGCTGTCCAGGGTGCTTGGTGTGGTCTCTCCACTCCAGCTGTCTGCACCACACGGTGTCTCCCAGCACCGTGCCAACTCCAGACTCCCGTCAGCGCACAGCCCTTAGTGGTTCTCTGCCGTGTCTTGTCGAGTTCCGGGCTGCACGTGTGCAGCTTACTGTTCAAAGAGGCTCAGGACGGCTGTGCGGTGTTCTGGGCCTCCTCCTCTGCACTGCTTCCTCCCCTCTGTGCTCACAGACACCTCGGCAGCCCGGCTTCAACCTCTGTTTCCTCCACCTCTTGAGACCACTGCGCTGTGTTGGGGCTCTGCTTACCTGCACTGGTTTGGGAATTGCTCTGATCAGGAAGCTGGGGTGGAGCTGTCCATCATGAGCACCTTTGGTCAGGTTCAGTAGTTGTTTATAGCAGGAGAGTAAGTTCAATGCCCATTCTTTTTATCATGGTCAAGAGCAACGTCCAGTCTAACTTTGCACCGGCTGCCTTCCATTTCTAGTGCCCTCCTAGAGAACACTCCCTGTCCCATCAAAGGCCTCCTTATTCCTTTGGACCACATTCAGATGCTGTGTCATCAGTAACCTTTTCCCTGGTCCCTTTTGGGTGGATTTGTCCCCACACTGAGCTTTATCACATTCTCATGGCATTCTCTTTTGCAAAGCAATCGAAGGTCAGAGGCTCTGTAAAAACCTTAATGGTGCCTGGCACATTGTAGCTTTGATAAACATGGTTTTATTGTAACTGTTGCTAAAGGGGAGGGGACTGCTCTCTGCCCACCACTGACCTCTCAAGCTGGGGTGGAATGGACATTGAAAACAGTGAGAGTGAGCATACCGGACAACCGGAGATTCAACCCCTTTGTTTCTGTATGAGGGAAGTTGGGTAATGCACTTGAATTATGTCAGTCATTTACTCATTATTTAACCGAAATCATCAAATATCAACCATGTGTGAGGCTTTGAGACTAGAGATAAAATGCCTTGCCCTCCCGGAGCTCTGAGGCTGGGTGGGGGAGGGGGCAGTGAATGGGGAGAAATAAGAGAATAAATAAGTCATGTCCACCCGGGGATCCTGTGAGGTATAAGCCTAGAGGGGCCTCAGCTAGCCTGGTGTGGGCACCCACGGACATGGGCCAGGCCAACCCTCCTGTTGGGGACCCACGCAGGACGTCTCACAGTGAAGGTTTGGGCCAAGCGTGCCCTGCCTGGGGGTAGCCAGGCCTCTCAGAAGAGCTGGTGAGAGCAGGTGGGTCCCCACAACCTCATCTGGCCCTGCTTCCTGCTTGGAGGAAAAGAAAACCACTTTGTTTTGACTCTCCTTTGCCTCTAGGTTTTTGGGAGAAGGGGCCGTGTGGCTTGTCAGTCAGAGAGAGGCCAGCAGAGCCCGTGTCCCTTCAGCACATCCCTGGCTCCAGGAGGTTATGCTCTTGGGGTGCTGGGTATGTCTGTAAACACGCATCCCTCCCAGCCCCCCATTCCCTGTCCCCCCTCGGTTCCTCCTGCTCTCTTTTCCGTCTCCCCTCAGGCCCCCTCTCCTCCTGCAGCAACAAAGAACTCACTGTCAGCCGCCCTCCAGCCTCACCCCACCTGCTCGAGACACCGGTGCAGACTCCTCATCTCCCTCTCCCTCTTGCCCTCTCTCTCTCTCTCTACCTCTCTCCTCTTTGTCCCCCCCCCCGCACTTCTCTCTGTCCCTCCTCATCCCCCTCTCCCCGCTCTCTCCCCATCTTGAAAGGCAGGAGAAATGGAAGTCGAGATCTTCTCTTGGTGATAATTATTGAAAAGTTCAGTGCAGAGACAGACAGTGATGCTATGAGGAGGGAGAAGGGGGAGAGGATATTAAAATGCATGTGCACAGCTTGGCTTTGCAGCAGATGTTGGCATAATTAGAGAGGAAAAAATTATGAAATTAATTTGTGGTTCAATGTAAATTTCAGCGCTGGGCTCTAGTCACCTCGTGTGCACAGATAGACACGCACACACACACATGCACGCATAGCCCAGCTGCCAGGGAAGTGGTAATTGTCAGAACCGATCCAGGGGGAGAGACTGGCATGAAAAGCAGGGAGGAAGGGGGCCGAGGGTGGGCTGCGTCCTCTTAAAGGCACAGCGGCTCGAGGGGCAGGAGGAGAACACCCCTCCCCCGAGGAGGGCAGTGCTGCCGTCTGCTTCGAGTAGATGCACGCGGCCCTGGGTTCTGCGGGTGTCCCCGCACCCCCACTGTGTGCAGCCCACCTTCCCACTGCCGGGGTTCAGTCTGACAGCCAGGGTAGGGGGGGAGCTGTCCAGGTGCACAGACTCCGGGAGCAGAGGCAGGGAGGCTGAGCGGCCCAGGTTTGGCGATGACGCGTTGTCACTGTGTCTGGCTGGTATGCGGTGTACTGAGGGCGAGTGCCCAGGCCAGGCAATGTCTGGGCAGCACTGGGGAGCCATGCAGCCCCTCACTGAGCCTCCTGGCTCTGGCCCCTCTCCTTCACTCTCTTGCCCGTCAGCCCGTTGCTGGGACCTCTGACACCAGGCAGCTGTCTCCTTGCAAGGGGACTGCAGGGCCCCTGGAAAGGTGGATGCAGCAGAGCTACCCTCTCTGCCGCACTGGGGCTCGTGCGGGCAGCCTGGCCCTCCCCACCCTCTGACCGGGCCATCCCCCACATCCTGCCCTCTACCAGGCTGGGCCGGCTGAGTGACCCTTTGGCCTGTTTCACTGTCTGCCCAGTGAGGGCTTCCCTCTGCACCCTGGGTGCGCTGGGATACGTCCGAGAAGGAGGCGTCCCTAGAAGCCTTCCTACTGGCCGCCACCGTGGCCTCCCTTCACCTGTGAACAGTGACGAGTTATTGGTGAGTGCAGTACCCGCTGCCTTCTCAGTGTACCCCCGAATGCTGAGGAATCACCCACAGCCCAACTCACGGGCTCTGACCAGAGCCTCGGACCCCCAGGCCCTCTACTTCTACCTCCTGTGGACGCTGAGCCTTCCCATCACTTCTCTCTGCTTGGTCATTTCCCCCATGTCCCTTCCAGGGGCTCTGGTGTGTGTCCCTATGCCCTCCATGAGCTGTCCCAGCTTGCCAGGAGCCCCTGCTCACCCCCTTCTACCTCATCCTCCAACATGCCTGGACGAAAGCTCTCCACTGGCCTGGGCCATTCTGGCCCCTGTGTTCCCCTGATGCGTCCTCATCCTGATGCGCCAAGCTCAGGGCCTTCCTCCTCCAGAAAGCCCTCCCTGACTACCTGTTGTCAGTGATGTCTCTGCCTCTCCCGGCGGGACCACAAGCCTCTTCAAACACTGAGAGGCACCGCAGGCTTGAGCAGGTGCCCACGGTCTCCTGGTTGTGCTCCATCCTCTGGGGAAGCCCCGTCCTCATGTCCTTAGATTCATTGCCAATGTTACCAACCCTGCTTTGACCCTTCTGGGACCTGGGGAGGAGATTGGCCTCTCCAAGACTCAAGCATTGCAGCCAGTGGGGTGCTGGCCCACAGGGCATCCGCGTAGCAGTTGTACTGGGGTCCGGCGGTGGCTGTGGCCTGGTTCCACGGTGTGGCCACTGCTCATGGCCCCGGGCAGGGAGCCCCAGCGCAGGCAGGTTCCCGGGAGACGGCTCGGTGGCCAAGACTCACGATTTGTCTGGGGCCGTTGGGCCCATCAGGGCTGGAGATGGTGCTTGATTCCGTGTCCCTGTCTGCAGCCTCCTCTGGATGGGGACGGACCGTGTGTGGGACTCTGGTCGGAGGCCAGAGCCTCTCCAGAGCCCCTGATGGTGGCCCAGGTCCTGCAGGTCAGCTGGCTTCTAGCCTCTCCAGGTGCCTCTCCCGTCCCTGACACCTTCTCCCTGCGTGGCCAGCAGAAGGCTGTGGCCTCCTCCACATTCTCCAGTCTTGGCTCCTGAAGGGCGAGGAGAGAAAAGGACACAGGCTCTGGGGGCAGACAGACCAGTCCCCGTGCCACCCCACAGGACTGAGCCGTGTGCCGGGGCAGAGTGCATTACCTCCTGAGTGTTTCTCCTGCTGCCCGGGGCGGG